TTTCCACGCCCTGAATCAACCAAAAAAATCATAGGCTAGAATTGCCATCACCCCATCTCCTAGTTCCTAAGTGGCTTGGGTTCTATAGAAACCATATCCCAGTGTTCTCTCAGCTTAGCTGCGGTACAGTCATGGGCACATAGGGGAGGCAAAGTGGCAGAGCAGGGGGCAGAGCAGGGGAGGCGCTGCAGAGTGGAGCATGGGGTGGGGGTGGCTGCCCGCACCTCTTTAGGCCGGTTCCCCCAAGCTCAGCTTCAGAAACAGCTTCCTTGTCATGGATCTTCTCACTGCGTGTCTGTCAAGGAAGAAAGGCAGGAAAGGGTCAGCTCTGGCCACTAGCACACAAAGGGAAGGTAACAGGAGGTGAGTGTGGGAGCTGAGCCCTGACACCACGTGCCTGAGTCTCCTCTTGGAGAGCAGGAGTGATGTCAGCACCGATCTAGAATGTCTGTTGGTCAGTTCCTGGCTACACTGCATCTGACCTCCCTCCACAGGTATGTGATTGAGGCTGGGCCAATCAGAACCCAAGGAAAACCCAAGGAGAGAGAGTCATTTAGAACTTACTCTGAATGTGGTGGCAGCAACAAAGCACCCAGTGACCTCTGTTCAGCTGGAGGTGAAAACAGTGACCTGAGGTCCTGCTCAGGGCTTGTCCCACCCTGGTTCCAGAGCAGGTCCCCTGAGACAGTTTCCCAGAACTGGTTTTCGTTGCTTGCAACCAAATCTCCTAACACAGCACTTCCTCAAGCTGTCATGAGCAAGGGCCCATATGTTCACTGTTTGGTTATTCAGTGTGTTGCTAAATGGACAGCACACCTGGTGCTTAGAAGCAAACTTCACCAATTGATCTCCACAACCAGGGCTGAGCGTGATTCTCATTTTACCAATGAAGCAACTGGGGCCCAGAGAGGGAGAGTGACTTGCCCAAGACCACACAGCTATTTAGAGGCCCTCCATTAGAGAAAGGTACAGCTGAAACACAGTGAGACATTCAGCCTTTCTCCTGGCACATAACAGTGGAGCTGGCAGGGGCCCTTCAAGGTCCCAAAGCACAGCCTGGACCATGAAGTAGACACCCCAGGATTGAGGAGCCTAAGGGGCGAGGGTGTGACCTGTGGGACAACATTAGTATCCTCCTTGTCACATTCCCAACAAATGAGGAGTTCCCAGTGTAGCCAGGTGACGCAGTCTATCACCCCACCCACCTCTTTCCAGCTGTTGTCTTGCTTCTCCAGGTCTGAGTGCTTCAGGACCCAGGGGTCAGCAGCCTTCTGCAGCTGGGCAAGGGTAAAGAGGGCAGTCAGGGGCAGGCAAAGCTGGTGAGCAGAGTCCCGATCTGTGCAGGGCCACTCCCCAGGCTGCACTCTTCAGCTCAGATGACCCAGATCATGGACTAGGAGCCACCTTTCCAGTGGGTAGCAGCTCTGAGCCACCAACAAAGTGGGTTTGGAAAATGATCATGAAACCAACCACTTACAGGCATCCTGATAAGTGTCATGATATCAAATACAGTAATAGTTGTTATTATTATGTTAATTCATGCTGCAGTTCCTGGAACAGCTATATCAGCTAAGTGGCAGCTGAATGACATCAAAGTGGTGTTCCCACACTAGGTACGTTAAACAGCAATTACACTGAATGAGACTGGCCTCTACACGCTGTCCTGAACAGCTCTCTATGAAAGAGGCAAAGTATAAACAATACGTATATTATGATTCAATTAATGATAAAAAACTCTGTGAATAGAAATTTAAATAGCAAGAAAGGGAGAGAATGGGTTGGAGTATGCTTTTGCAATATTTGAGTCCTATGTAAAGATGAAGTCCTGACTTATACAATTAAAATTAAAAAGTGAAACAAAGGAAAAAGTCACAGTGGAGCAAAGCAGTCTGGTAAGCTGGGTGCGTGCTGACTGTAGTTGCGGTGTTAATGGTCAATGATTGTTTTTCTTATCTCCCTCCTTTTGGTCAGAGGATTCCAATTTTCCATGGGGAACCAGCCTTGGTTCTTCTTTCTTGGTTCTGGGGTTTTGGCAGTCTCTAGTTTTGGGCACATGACTCCCACCAGGTTGATTAAGCCTTGTGAAAAGGAAAACTCTCTTTCCACTGTAACTGCTAAACTGACAGAGGCCCTATTTAGGGACAGCTGGCTTCAGAATAAAACGCAGAGGAAAGCAAGCCTTTCTGCGAGACTGACGGAGAAAAAGACCTCATCCCTAGGGCAGTCTCTGAGCACACGGATCCAGCGTTACCTGAAGGAGTCCTCCCTCTGGCCTTTTGCCTACAGTGACTCCCCCTAGTGGTTCAAGCCAGCTCGGGCTGGGACAGGCCTTACCTGGCTCAGGCGGTTCTGCAGCTCCTTTACCTGCTGCTCCACCTGCTGCTTCTCACCCTGAAGCCGCTCCACCAGCTGCAGCTTCTCCTGGCCCCAGTTGTGCTCACTGATCTGCAGCTGTCGCGTCAGCTCCATGACTGCGCTGTAGGACTCGGCCAGGAGGTGCTGCTGCTCCTCCCGCTCCCTCTGCAGGGCTGCCTTCCAGTCGGGCCCTGCTCTCTCCCCAACCCCCTTCCCAGCCTTCAGCTCCATCTGCAGAAGGAAGAGCAAACCGGACAGCTGGCACCAGGAGGCTCCTCCCCTCTGCCCTCCCCACTCCTTCCCTCCCAGGCACCCGCAGGGGGCAGGGGGAGGGAGTGCTCCTCAGAGGACCCCTCACCCAGGAACTTTCCCTGATCTCCTCAGTTAGAACTAAACTTCCCTAACAATCAAGGCTTGTGTGGAGCAGTTTCTACCACTAAGCTCCGTGCTAAGGGCTTTTCAGGCATTATCTCAGTGTCCTCAAGAAACTCAGCAAGATAACTGCCATTTTCGATATTTTACAGAGAAGACAGAAGTTCGAAGAGGTTATTTGGCCCAGGTCACATAGCTACAAAATGGCAGCGGTTCCTAGTTATTGCTTCTCACGGTATTTCAACAGCTCTTACCAGTGTTTACCAGGGCTTACAGTTAGTGGGGAGCATGCACAGTCACATAAAGACTGCACAGGAATCATCCCAGCATGATGGCTTTCTTGGCCCCAAACCTTGAGGGGCAAAGGGTAAACATGCAATCTCGAGAATAAGTGCACCCCACACCCTCAGGCTGCGGTCAGGTTTGAGGGGAGGGGCGCCTGGAATGGCAGGGGTTGGGGGGCAGCAGGAGCAGTGGACACTGTGGATGTACAGATGCGGCAGGAGCCATGAGATCTGCAGGGAGCACTGGGAGGAAAGAATGGTGACCCCAGGAAGCCAGAAGTCTGAACACGGGAGAAGATGGGATCATGGTCATAGGGAGCCAGGAGGGCAGAGGTTGTGGGAGTCAGGGTCAAGTCTGCCCCTTACTAGCTGGGTGACCTTGAGGAAGAAACATAACTCTTCTGTGCCTGTTTTGCCACTTGTCCAATAGAGATAATCAGCGTACCCACCTCCAAGGGGCCCGTGATCCCCAGGAAGGCAGCCTGCAGCGGGGGCAGGATGGAGGCAGCTGGACCCTGCAGAGTTGTGGCGTGGGGTCGGGGCAGTGGTGGTGAGAGCATTCTCTCTGAGTGGGAGGAGGCCCACCCTCTCACTTCTCAGACACGAGTGGGAGGTAGCAACTTGCCTCCAGGCACACAGCAGAGACCTGGGGCTCCTGGTTAAGGCTCCTTTGATCATCTGGGCTGTAGGGAGGGAGTCCCCCAGTACGGGTGGAGGGAGCAAAACAGAGCCAGGTAGCAGGGCGTTAAGGGGATCCTTATGAGGACAGCAGGCATCAGAAATCTGGGCTTGAGCAAGAAGGATGTCACCCTGTGCAGACAGGCAGTTAAGTGTTCTGGCCTCGCCTGTGAGCCCAGGGTGCAGCAGAGCTGCCTCTGATGGCCCCGTGTTCCTCTGTCAATCCCTCACCTGCTTTCCCTGGACCAGGGACCCCCCAGTCCCCACTGTTTCTGGTCCCTTGACTCTAGGCAAGTCTCTCACCGTCTCTGGGCCACAAGGTAAGTGAAGGGATTCCTATGCTTCTAAGAGCATAGCTTGGGCATCCTGCTCCCAGATCTGAGGCCCTGGCTGAGAGGGAAACAAGCAGGGGGTGTCTCTGACACATGGGAGACTCACCGGGGCAGTATGGCTCTTGAGCTCTGCCCGCTCTGTCTCCCAGGTGGCCTTGGCCTTGGCAAACTGTTGCTGAAGCTCAGTCAGACCACGGCGCTCATCCCGGAGCAGCCAGCATAGCTCCTTCAGCGTCACCTTCATGTCGGCCAGGGTCTTGATGTATTCATTGGGCTGCAGACGGGGACAAGGTCTGGGTCAGAAGCTTTTGGACTGGCGAGGAGGGGAGGGCTGGGCACACTCATCCAGAGTCCAGCCTGGGACTCAACCAGGCCTCAGGCAAATCCCACGACCTTGCTGGGTCATCTCCCCATAAAACAGGCACGACAAGCCCAGCCCTGGCCCCCTCCTGGGCTGACATGTGCCCCAGCCTCACATAAACACAAAATCCTGCTATTACAACAATTATTCAGCCTAAATCTGAGCTGAGCTCTAGCTTCTCTGAGGCTCTGCAGCGTCTAAGCTGGGTCCTTCTCCTTGCCTGGGATCTGTCTTCTCTGATCCACCATAGGCCAGGGAGTCTGAAACAGGGAGCCTCCCTGACTGCCTGACTTGGTCCCAATCTTCTCTCCTGGGCCCATGACCCATTTCCCACCTGTAACCCAGCTTACTGTGGGTGACCCTGGGAGCTTGCCCCTACTGTTCTCACTACCCCAAGGTTTGATTTAAGGGTTCCTGATCCTAGGCCAAAAGCCCTTCCTCCTTCCATCCTTCACTCCAGCCTGATGTCCTTACCCCCACTGTATACATCCCAAGCTGCAGCCACAGAATACCTTGCCACGCCTCTGCACACACAGTTCTCTTGGTCCAGAATGGCCTTTTCGCTATTCTCTATTAGGCAAGCTCCTTTTCATCCTTCAAACCCTACCACCTATGACCCTCTTCTTTGTAATACCATCCCCTCTACGTTCCAAACAGAATTAACTGCTCCCTCACCTGTGACCCCACACTTCATCATTTGACCCTCAACCACTGCCCTGGGGTGACTTACTGGGCATCTGGGGCCAGTGACCAGGCAGTAACTCACTGCAGCCCCCGTGCCTGGCGTAGGACTGGGGTCAGGGAAAGCAGCAAGATGTGATCACTAGACAGACAAAGGAACAGATGGACAGGACAGAACTGGAAATGGGCAGAGAACGCACCGTGTTTTGGGTCCAGCTGTCCCCCGCGCAGGTCTTGTTATCAGAATGCTGGGCATTTAATTCCTCTTCCTCCATTAGCAGGTACAGCTCCTTCATACTATTTACCTATTTAAAAAAAAAGAAGCCACACTCAACAGAGGGTAGGAGGGCATCATGCCTGGGGTCTGACTCTCAGGTGGAGGGGATACAGGCTAGTGGCCTAGATAGAAAGGGGGATGCAAAGCCAGGCAGGAAGAAAGAATGGAGGTTTATGGACCAAAGGCACCCCAGCTAGGCACCAACTGCCCAAATTTTAACTCTGATCCCTGGGCACCATCTGGGTGGAGAAGCACAGCTGCCGAGTCAGGCCCTGCTGGCCCCCCACACCATCTCTTCTGCCCCCAGGACCATAAGGCATCCCTGAGAGCTACTTATAAACAGCTGCATTGTCAAGGTAGGCTCTATGGTTGGAATAAAAGGGCCACAGACACCCTCATAATTATAGATAAAGGCAACCAGAGGTTTGGGTGAAAAGAAGGGACTTCCTGGGAGGAGGGGTTTGTTGATGATGGATTCTGGGCAGGAGCCAGCCTAGGGGATGAGGGTCTAGATCAGGATGAGAATGAAGCAGAAGAAGCCACCTTCTGACTGGGGCACTCATTCATTACTCATTCATTCATTTGATAAATATTTATTGAACACCTACATGCGCCAAGCCCTGTGTTTGGAGCTGGGGACACAACAGTGAGCAAGACAGACAAAAACCTTGGTCCCCCTGAGCTTCCATGCCAGTAGTAAGAAAACAAACAAATATGTGAAATACATGAAATGTCACTAAATATGGAATGTCCCACAATAGTAAGTGCTATGGAGAAAGAGAGCCGGGAAGGGGCTTAGGATGTGCTGCACTGCGTGGCCAAGGAAGGCCTTAGAGAGAAGGTGATACTTGGGCAAAGTCCTAAAGGAAATAAAATAATAAGGCATGGGAATATCTGCAGGTCAAGAATTTCAGGGAAAAGGCATAGCAAATGCAAAGGTCCTGAGGTGGGAACATGTCTGTTTGAGGAAGAGCAAGAGAGTCAAGGAGGAAGTAAGGGATACAGGGACCAAGACTGGTTGACCAGGGACCTTGGATTCTACTCTGGGTGAAATGGGAACCAGAGGAGGATGGTGCCAAGGAGAGACACTGGCTTGACTTCCGGTTTCATGAGATCACTCTAGCTGCTGTGTTAAGATATTTTACAGGATAGCAACAGAGCTCCAAGTGGTACAACACCAGGCGGCACCATCCGCACGGAGTACTTGCTGCCTGGCCTCCCGGTACCCTTGTGAACACAAGATGCTTGGTGGAAGGATGAGGTGCTAGGGCAGAAGCAGGAAGACCAGTTAGGAGGCTACGGTGATAATCCAGGCAGGAAGTGATAACGGCTCAGTTGGGGGCAGTGAAGGGGTGGGCAGTGCATCTGGGTCAGATTCTGTAGATTCTGGATTTGCAATGTGCAAGAAAGGCCATTTAAGCCAAGTGCCTGGACAGGTGCCCTGAGGCAGTAAGTGCAGGTAAAGGAGAGATGCGATCTGAGGGCTGAGCCCTGGGGACTCTGATGTTAAGAGGTCAGTTCAGGGAGAAAATGAAGATCCAGCCAAGGAGACTGAGGAGAAACCAGTGAGGTGGAAGGAAAACCAAGAGAGTGTGGTGTCCTAGAAACCAAATGAAGAAGGATTTCTGGGGTCAGTGCAGGTTATGAGGCTGGGAAGCATATTGGGGGAGCAGGGCGTACATGAACAGACACCTAGTTCTGTCCCTGGTCACAAGGATCTAAACATACAGACTTTTGATTATCTATATACACAGGTGCACAATTCTTTCTCTGAAATTCCTTGGGGCCAGGTGTGCTTCAAATTCAGAATCAATCGGGATTTAGAAAGATAATCTGGCACCTACACGGTATACTGTACAACAGCCCAGACTGGTGTTAACACTGTGCTCATGGGCACCGACAATGCCCCTTCAAACATGTGAATATTAACGTGACATGGGATAAATAAAGGTTTTGCTGCTGAACAAATGTCAGGTCAATTCTTTCCAACTGAGTTAGACACAACAAAACACAGTTCTCAGAGCTTCTGGATTTCAGAATTGAGGGTGAGGAATCAAAGATCTTTAACTGTAGTAGAATGGGGATAAGTGTTTCCACATTCCAGAGCATGTATAAAAGGGAAATGAGATTGTCCACTCAGAGCATTTAACACAATGCCCAGAGCACTAAAAATACTCAATATGTGAGAGTTATCATTCACGTGTGTAGTTTTAATTCTGCATGTGTGGATACACACATTTTTTACAAGTATGCATACAGATCAGGTTTATTACTTATATAGTTATACATATTTTATTGTGTATTTGTTTATATGTATTTTTATACACATGTGCTTTATATCATATTACATACATATATGTACATATATATTTTACATCTGTGGTTATTTTTAAATCTTATTATGCCTACTTCAGGAAATATGTTTATTTCTATTTATTACAGGCACATATATTATTTAATTTTCTATGCTTATACTTTTTTTTTTCAAGTAAGTTTCTGTTTCTGTTACTCCAGTTCATTGAAACGGCTAGAAAGATTTTCACCAAATATGGAGTTTGCCTGAGACAAACTGATTTAAAATATAAGCTATGTGGCCTGCAGGCAATTCATTTTGGGGGGTGTGGGGAAGAATCTTCCCTAGCAGTCAAAACTAGGCTTCGGCTATGGAAAACAGTACAGTGGTTTTCCCCCAAAATTAAAACTAGAACTACCATTTGTGGGTATACCACTTGTGGGGTACATATCCAGCGGAAATGAAACCTGGATCTCTCTGTGGCATTACCCGCAGTAGCCAAGACATCGAAAGAACCTAAGTGTCTATCTATGAATGAATGGATAAAAAAAATGTGATCTACACATACAAACATTATTCAGTCTTAAAAAAGAAGGAAATCCTACCATTTGCGACACCATGGATGAACCTGGAGGACATTACGCTGAGTGCAATAAGCCAGACACAGAAGGACAAATACTACAATATCTCACTTACATGTGGAATCTAAAAAAGTCAAACTCATACAAGCAGAGAGTAGAACAGTGGTTGCCAGGGGCAGGCAGGAGGGGGAATAAATAAGGATTTAATGGGTAAGAGTTTCAGTTCTACAAGACAAAGAGTTCTGGAGATGGATGGTGGTGATGGTTGCACGACAAGGTGAATGTACTTAATGCCACTGAACTGTACACTTAAAAACGGTTAACAAGGTAAATTTTATGTTATGTATATTTTAGTATAATTTTAAAGTAAAATTTTAAAAATTTATTAAAAAAAAAAACTGGGCTTCATCCAGAGGCTTGTGTGGGATTTCCAAACAGGAGGGGTGGTCCTAAAGCAGAGAGTGGCTTCAAACATGAGGCTCCAGGTGTCATAAAGAGTGATGCTCAAGGGGCAGGCATGCTAGGTTTTCGAACTGCTTCTCATAGGGGCACCTCTGTGTCCGACATTCCATGGAAAAAGCAGGAGGGAATATGTCCATCAAATGACGGTCAGCGACTCTCTCTAGAGGCCCTTGGGGAGGAGGCAGGTGGCCTGTGAGAAGAACCATGAGCCCCACTGGGGCTGGGGGAGGAAACTCTTGCTAGAGATTCAGGTCTAACCAACATCCTCCACTTCTGGGACATTCAGGCTACTCTGGGGGGCCTTACATAGGGGAACACTGGGACTGCCACTGGTCCCCACTGGCTTTGGCAAAGAGTAGCTTGAACCAGCAAAGGGCCAAGCCTGGGCTAGACCAGAGGTACCTGTACCCAAAAAGCCAAAGCCAAGGTGAGAATGCCGACTCAGGTGGATGTGACTGAGGTATGACATCCTTGCACGCCCCCCTTCTCCTAGCAATGTTAGCATGCTGCTGCTGATGGGAGGCAGGGGCTTTGAGGACAACGGGTCCTGCACAGGCTGAGGGACAAATGGGCCATGTGAGTCCTTCCCAAACTCCACACATTCCCAGAGCTCCACTCCTCGTGTTTCCTGCCACACCCAAATACTACCTGTACTATCAGTAATGCCTTTAAGTCGACCTACTCTTTCTACTTGAACAAATATATCTAAAAAAGGAAGTTTGTATTATTACTGAAAATGGAAAGCCAGTGCTCATTGTCATAAATCAAAGGTAACATTAAATATAAAATAGGTATATGCATAAGTGAAAAATAAATAGCAGTAAAAAACAATAAACTATTTTCACACGCTAAACATGGATGAACCTCAAAGAATTATATTAAGCTAATGCCAGAAACAAAAGACAACATGAATTTATATGAAGTTCTGGAATAGGCAAAATTAACTCCGGTGTAAATGGTGTGAGAAGTCAGAACAGATCTGGCTGCGGGGGTAGGCATGTTGCCTGGGGCACGTGGGAGCCTCACTGTAAATGTGCTCATCGTGATCTGGGTTGGGCTATACTGTGTACCTGGGGGGTGTAGACTTACGATGTGTGCACTTTACTACACGTAAGTTATACCTTAAAAGAGTAAAAAACATTAATATATACCATGTTTGCATCTAATGCAAAAACAACAAAACTAGATTATTAATTCACCTAGATACTGTTGCCTGCTGAAGACTCTGAGGTTTGTTAAAAAAGGAAACCAACAAGTAGAGACCTAAAGAGGTGTTGAAGACCTATTGGCCCCCCAAAAGCCTTCCTCCTGGCGAGGCTGGGACTAAGTCTGTCGTCCTCATCATGGTATCCCCAGCACCTGCTACAGTCCCCAGTAAAGAGCTGGTTCTCAATAAACAGGTGCTGATGAGTGATGGAAAGCAGGGATGGAAGCTGCAAGCTGATGGCTACTGTCTGAGCCCCAGGGCTGTGTCTATCCAGCTGGGTATCGTTCCCGTCCTATTTCCCCCACCCCAGCCCCAGCCTGAACCCCAGAGGAACTGTACCTCAAGGAAGTCATCCCCCTCGCTGGGCAAAACCTTGCCCTGCCGCCAGCGCTTGAGGAACCACCTGAGCTTCATGAAGAGCAGGAGGAAGTTGTGCTTGAACTGCTGGGACTCCTGCACCAACATATTCTTCTCCTGGCTCCAGAATTTCTGCTCCAGCCTCCGCTGGAGGCTCAGGCTCTGCAGCTCAAACTCACGCCTCAGGAGCGCCCTCTGCTGGTCCTCTTTCAGCTGTGAGGGGGATAGTAGCGTGAGCCACCCCAGCTGTCTCCCGGCCACAAACCCACCCCATTCCAGGCCTCAGACAAGGGCAAAGAGGAAAATTCGGGAGAGGCCTGTTGGTGAACCCTGCCAGGGATTCCACCGCTAGCAGCTCATTCTGTTGGAAATAAACACTTCCCTCGGCTACTCCAGGGATGGGAAACTCATAAAAACAGCAGCAATCAGTTACAAATCAATGAAAGAGCTGGGATTTGAACTTGGCTCTGTCTGATTATAAAAACCATAACATCAGCTAATAAGCACACACCAGGTGTGCTCTCACATTTAATGAGGAACCTGGGAGGGAAGGCAATGATGGTGACCCACATGCAGAGCAAAGGCATGCTCGCAATGAGGAAGGCTGAGAATGTCAATACCCAAGGAAACAACGCGGTGTTGCAGCTCAGAGGGAGCCCATTATCTGAATTCGAATCCCAGCCCCACCTTGCCCTGTAACTACAACTCTGGGCAAAGCACTTCAGCCCTCTGGGCGTCAGTTTCCCCATCTGCAAAATGAGGACACCTCACAGGGGGAAACATGAGGCTGAAAGGATACGATGTGTGGAAAGTGCATTGCAAAACTGGCATACAGTAAGGGCTTAGTAAACGCCGTCTACAAGCAAGACTACCATCTTGATAATCAACCAGGCCTGTGGCCTTTCTAATACAGGTTTTCAGCTCTGATGGGGACAATATTTCATAGGTGGGAAACTGAGGCTCAGAGAGGAGACAGGATGGGCCTGAGGTCACACAGTCAATGACAAGCCTAGGATTCCAGCCCAGCACAGCTAATGCATAATCACCAAAGGAGCATGGGGCTGGAAGACACAGGTCTCCCCTGACATTCTTGCCTTCTGAAGACCCATGGACCTCTAAGGTTTTTGCCTTCGGTTCAGGGAAGAGAGGTTGGAGTAGGTGCAGGGAGGGCACTGGGCACCACCCACCTGGACCATTTTCTGGTTGAAGTTGTCGGCCTCCTCCTTCCGTAGCTGCCGCTCCTGGGAGAGCTGCTCTTGCAGGCCCCGGAGGCTGTCGTGGGCCTCGGCCAGCACCAGCTGCAGCTCCTTGATCTGGGATTGAGATGAGAGACACCCATAATGAGGAGGGAGAGAGCAGGAGGAGGACAGAAGCTGTGGTCAAAGAATGAGAGTGGTAGGGGAGCAACAGCAGTAAGTCAGCCTCAAGCTGTCCTTCCAGTGCCAAACAGGCACAATGGCTGTCCCTACCTCGGTGGGTTGTCACAATGATTAAAAGAAACAGTGCACATCAAATCTAGCTATTATTATCATTTTAACTTGATAATTTCTCCCTGAAATTCGAGGAAAATACACTGTGAAAATTAAGTTTAATTCATAAAGATGTTCATCTCATTGTTTATAATTGTAGTAATTTACAAACAACTTAGATAATTAATGATGGGGGTCAAACATGTGTTTAATGGGTCTACACTTATAAAAATCCATTCAACTGTACACTGGAGGATAGTGTCCTCTATTATATATATATTATACTGTTATACTTCAATAAAAAGTTAAAAAAAAATATATATCTCAATAGAAAAACATGAAGGACAAGGACACACACAAACTAAAAGTTAACAGTGGTGAACTATGTGATAATCTTGTGATCTTGACTTTCTTCTTTACCTCCTTATGCAACACTGCTTAGGGATTTTGTTGTAGTTATTTGTTGTTTATGATGACTACGTAATGAAATTTTACAAAAAAGACAATAAAACTATACATTTTCAGAGGAAATTGCGTTCATAAGGATTTGTAGCTAAATAGGCAGCACAAATCTATTTTGTTAGAAGTCAGGATGGTGACTAGATGGGGACTGGAAGGGAGGCCTCCAGGGACAGGTCATGCTTTGTTATTGATCTGCTTGCTGATTACACAGAAGTGTTCAGTTTGGGAAAATTATTAGAGCTGTCACTTACAATATGGGCACTTTACTGCATAAATATTATACTTCAATTAAGGCTTCTAAAAGCATTTTTAATGAAAAAAGGAAATTTTAATGCTGTCATGTTAAGCAGGAAAACAAAAAGGAGAAATGTCAGCTCCAACTCCTACAGAAAAGATTTCCAGTCATGGCAAGATGTCCCACTGTGAAAAAAACCAAACATTTATTATCTGGCCAATAACGTGAAAGTTTGGCAATAGATGGCACTCTGGCTTGAGGTATATATTTTCACCTGTTTTGTATTAAAAATCCTTAAAGGACTAAATATTATCTGCTATCTCTGGTATTCTCCTTAAACTCAGTGCTCAACATGGTGCCTGGCAAACTGTAACTTCTCAATAAACAGTGGTTTAATGAGACAATAACTGACTGCATGTAGGAAATTACTTTCTCTGCAGGTGAGCTGGCCTATCTCTTTTTCTGAAAAAATAAGAACTGAATACTTCATGATTCCCCCCTCACCACACACACACACACACACACACATTCCTTGCCATGGCTGCTAGGAAACTCAGACCACTTAGAGAATTTGATCCATCAGCTTCAAGGGAGCTTCCCCCTGCACAGGTGCAGACTGGCCTTCCTGGGACCACAAAGTTGCCTTCCCAGTGATGCTCAGTAGAAAAGTGTGCCCAGGTTGGGGCACACACAGGGCTCTCCACGGTTCAGGAATCTCAGGGAGGCCCCATCCAGTCCATAGGAGCCTTTTCCTGCTTCAGCTTCATTATGAAGTGCTGGGGAGAGGTTCAGAAAGCTTGGGAGGAGCTCAGAACCACCCAGAATTCCTCAAGGACCAGGAAATCCAGAAATTTGACAGCCACCATCCACTCTAACTCTCCCATGTTACAGATGGGGAAGCTGCAGCCAGAAAGTGGGAACGTGCCCAAGGCCACAAACCCATGCTGGCAGGTCCCTCGAGGCCCAGTGATGGGTCATCCTCCTCCTCTGTCTCCTCACCCCACAGGGACCAGGCCTTAAGCTAAGGCTTTTTATGTATTTAATCCTTTCAACAACCCTGTGAGACATCACCTTTATTTTAAAGGCAAGAAAACTAAAGATCAGAGAAGTAAAGTGACATCTACAATTTCACAGCCAATATATATACAGATTCACAGTTTGAACCCAGTCAGCCTGACTGAAGAGACTGTGGCCTTCTTGCTAAAGACATGACTGGTTCCATAAAATGACATAAATTATTAAGTTCCCTGTGGAATTCAGTATAGGAAAACAAGAGTAGTTTCTTCAGATGAGTCTATAAGCTTCCTTTCCTCAGGCCCTGAGAATGGCCCAGACTTCCTTGTTTCCCTTTTAGCCCTTGCTGCCAGGAAGCTTGGAAACAAATGGAATACTCAAACCCCCTATCATCTTCAGCTAGGACTGTCCACAGATCACTCTGCGCTGGAGAGGCCTCAGTCACTATCCTCCACCCCACCACCCAGCCATCCCGCCTCTTACTCAGGTCTAGGCCCACCTCAGAGGCATAGGAGTCATTGTCTTCAGCTCGGTAAGGCCTGAAGCTCCGGCTGGGGTCAGGCTTGGAGTCCAAGTCCCCAGTGCGGAAGGCCTCTCGTATCCTGGGCTCCCATTCTGGAAGGTCCCTGAAGTCAGATGGCTGCACCTAGAGGCACAGGCAGAAGAGACTAAAGGTAACCATGGGGAGGGGCACAAGGGGGTGCCAGAAACAGCACCCACCCAGTCCTCTGGCTCTAGAAGAGGCTCTAACTGCCCACTCAAGGGCAGGGGCCTAGGTGGATGCACCTCTATAGCTCAGACCCAGACACAGCTGCCGCATGGCAACTACTCAACGAATGTTTGTTGAAAAGGTGAATGACTAGTGGTGAGTGAAAACACTGATTCCGTGAATGTCTGTCTTACGCACAAATCTCCTGGGCCAGTCTCAACTGTCCTACCACATGTGCGGTCCCAGCTCATCCTACCCCAAGAAGAACCAAGAGGGAGACCCCAATGGGGCATTCTGCTTGCTTAAAAAAGCAAGATTGAGCCAGATCAACAAGGTACAGATTAACGAAATTTGTTATCAAAAACAAGGAGTTAAATCTCTCTGTACAGAAATGGGAAGACCCTTCCCATTGCTTTTAGGAAGATCAAACCTCCCTGATGCTCTCTGCAGTCCATTTATTTTTTAGGGTTTTTTTTTTTTTTTGGCAAGGGGTGGAATCAGGTTTATTGATTGATTTTTAGAAGAGGTACTGGGATTGAACCCAGGGCCTCACGCATGCTAAGCACGCACTCTACCACTGAGCTGTACCCTCGTACCTTCCTGCAGTCCAGACTCACTCCTTCTCTTAGTCCTTGGACACATCACACTCCTTCTGGCCATGATGCCTTTACACAGGCTATTCCCTCTGTTTAGAACACTCTTCCCCTGGTAATCCATCCTCCTGATCTCAGTTCAGATCAGAGGTCCTCCTTGGCCCGGGGTCTAGGTCAAGCTCCTTGTTCCCAGACCAAGTACCTTTCTTTGACAGCCTTCATCTCGGTTTGTAATTTCACATTCTTTGGCATGACATTTTGATTAACAACCCTCTTTCCCGCTGGATGATATAGGCTGGGGGGCAAGAAGTATAACTATTTTTGCTTTACATGGCACCTCCAGCACTGATCACAAATGGCATGTGAACAATCAATACAGCACCCTAAGTAAATGAACAAGTAGACACATTACAGAAGTGAAATAAGTTGTGGTGGGTAGCAGTAGGTACAACAAAACAATTTGGGGGGAAAACAAATATATGAGAGCATACACATAGAGAAGGAGAGGGCCTGCTGTGATGATGAAGTATTCCAGGTCTGCACCACTTGACACACATAGCTACTGAGTGCTTGAAATGACTGAAGAACTGAATTGTCAATTCTACATAATTTTTAACTTAATTTTTTAGGGGGGGTAGGTAGTTAGGTCTATACCCTCCCCGCCATTAACTTAATTTTAAGTAGCCCACATGTGGCTACCGTATCAGACAGCACTGCTCCAGAAGGTGAACAGCAGAACTTTAACGGTAAGAAGCAGTGGGGATGGGGGCTTCGTCTTTTTACCCAAGGCATTTCTGAAACTCTTTGAACATTTATGGATTACTTTTGCAGTAATGCTTTTTTTGGAGACAAATGCATTTGCTATTTTAATTTTTCTAAGTAGTAGTTTATAGACATCAAAGCTGGAAGTTCATTACCTTTACAAGCTGCGTTTCTTGCTTTGCACAGGATCTGACTGACGTTTTGTTTTGTTTTGTTTTAATAATACTTGTCTTAAAATACAAAATTGCAAAGAAACAAGAAAAGAAGAAAGGGTGACCTGGCCAAAAGATAGTGAGTCAGAATCAACCCCTATATTTATTAATAGTAAATGACTAGGTGAACTGTGGTATGGTCACTCCACGACTTCGTATCCAGAAAAATAAAGAAACTACTGCTACACGAGCCAACAAACACACTGGTGAGTGAAAGAAGTCAGGCACAGGTGAGTGCGTACTGTGTGACTTCATTTATGCAAAGCTCAAAGACAGAGAGAGGATAGTGGTTAACTGAGGAGGGGCTGCTGGGGTGCCGGTCAAGTTATTCAAGTTATTGTTTTGGGTGATGATTACACGAGTGTCCCCACCTTGGGAAAATTCATTAAACTGTACACTTCTCCTTTGTGGGACTCTCAGTCCATATGTTATGGTTCAGTAAAAGGTTTATATCAAAAAAAAAAGAAAAGAAAAAAGTAATAGGGCCTGTGACTGAGACGTCTTACCTGGAAGTCTGAGCCAAGGTCTTTGGCTAGAAGAATCTCCTTGGAGGGACCCTGGGAGCCCAAGCTGGGCAAGGAGGAGAAGGGCTCTGGCTGCTCCTTGGCGGAGCCCCCCAGGACGGCGTCCGCCTTCCGCGTGAAGGCGTTGAGCTCCTGCTGGAGCAAGCTCAGCCGCACCAGGAGGGCGTGGATCAGTTTGGTGTCCCTGGGGCCCTCGCTGTTGTCGGGGGCTTCATGCAGCCGGAAGTCGGCACACTCGTTGTCCAGGTACAGCCGGAGGCCCGCCGAGAAGCCGTTGGCATCAGCCACCAGGACATCGATGGCCTTGCTGACCAGGATGGCCTGCTCCCTCAGCCCAGGCAGCGCCTCGGCCTCCCTGACTCTACAGAGCCGGGCAGCGTGGGGCCCGTGGGCCTCGCCAAGGGCAGCGGGCACACACTGGGCAGAGTCCCCGGCCTCGGCGTCCGTCTCCAGCATCGGCCGCGTGCTCTGGCAGGAGGCGAGGTCACAGCGCTGGAGGTTGGAGAGGAGCACCCGGTTCTCGTACTGGAGCTTCTTGACCTTGCCGCTGAGCTCGCCGATCTGCAGTTTGGCGGCTGCCAGCTCCTCCTGCGAGGGCTCGCTGAGCACGGAGCAGCTGTCCTCCGACAGCGTCACGTCCAGCTCATGCTCCGAGCGGTACTTGGCCAGCTCGCTCAGCAGCAGCTTGTTCTGGTCCTCCAACTCAGCCGAGGAGCGCCGCAGCAGCTCGGCCTCCTCCTCCACGAACTGCAGGTGTCGCCGCAGCTCCGCCAAGCTCTCCCCGCACTCACCGCCGCCACCCAGCGCAGAGAAGGCCAGGCGGGCCTCGGGGCCCCCGCAGCCGCCGCCGTGATCCTTCATGTCGTCCATCTCCGCCCGCAGGCCGCGGTTTTCCACCTCCAGCTCCACGATGCGGCGGCTCAGCAGGTTGGCTTCCTCCTCCACCAGCTTCAGATGCACCTTGAGCTCGGTCTCCCGCGAGTGCGGTGCGTCGGCCAGCTCCTCCGCCGACAGGGCGCTGTCCAGGTCTCCATAGAGCGAGCGGTACTTGAGCAGCTCCTCCTTCATGCCGTCGTTCTCCTTGGCCAGCTTGGTGAGCTTCTTGCACATGAGGGCGGACTCCTCCTTTGCAAAGTGCAGCTGGCACTTCAGGTCCGCACTGTCCTCCTGGGACCCGATGGGGAAGGCAGGACGCAGGAAGGTTAGTGTTGGGAGGCTCAGCTGCAGTATTTCAGGGAGCACTAACTACGTGCTGGGGACAAAGCCCTGACCTTCAAGGAGCTGAGGGTCCAGAAGGGAAGCAGAGAGGGGGATGTTGATATTGCAGCAAAGACGGGGCACCATGTATAGCCTGGGGAGTCCAGGAGGGCTTCCTGGAGTAGGTGACTATTGCTGCTACCACTACTACCATTACTACTTCATTATCCTCATCTGTAAAATGGAGCGATAACACTCGCTCCCTTGCAGACCATTAAGAAAATTAAATGACACAATGTATAAAAAGTGCCTGACACCCTGACAATCCAGGGCCACTGGAGACTATTCCATTCCTGACCTGTGCTATATACGGCACTTTATCTAGCAGAGAGCATGAGAACCATGAGCTCAGGGTGTAGTTTTGGGAAGTAAAGTAGGCAGCGAAACTAAGAAAATGAGCAAGGGGAGGATGGAGTAGTAACTGGGGAGGGGTGGGCACCTCTGGGACTCCTGGGGCCACTTGGAGTCAGACTCGGGGCCTTCAGACTAAGGTGTCTAGGGCTGCACAGGGGCTGTGGAGGCTGATGGGAAGTACCTGCACTGAAGGCTTCTTGTCTGTCTTCCCCAGGGAGCGGGTTCCTCTTTTCTTCAAGGAATGCTGGAGAGAGGTTAAAAAGAAGAGAAAAATTGAGCTGAAAGCTCATGGGGGTGATGCACAATCCAAAGAGCAGTCCTGGCTTCTAGGGTTCTGTGGGGACCCCCCCATCAGCCCAGCCTTGTCTGAGTCTTGATCAGCATCAACCACTGAGCCCAAGTAATCTCAAGACCACCCAGTGGGCTGCAAACAGGGAACAGGCCAGAAACATTTAAAATGATTCTGATTACATCTGCCCAGGGTTCCTCCCCTCTCTCCCAACCGTGAAATTGTGATCCAGTTGGCCTGAGCCCAAGATCTGGAAGTCTGCGTTTCTGTTCTTGTTTGTCCTTCATCCATTCACCAAAGACTTCCTGAGTACCTATCATGTGCCAGGCATAGTTAGGTACAGAGAACACAGCAGAGACCACAACAGACAGGCTATCTGAGGGGCATGTTGTAGTATTACACCCAGATTTCCCCTTCAGAGCTGGGCATTCCTCCAACTAAGACCTCAAAGCTGAGTCCCCCTCCCAGCGATGGCCACTGGCTGAGGGCAACTGCCTCATCCAAGGTCATGAGCCCTCTCTGGGGGGTGGGGGAAGCCCACATCCAGTGACTGGTCCATGTCCCCTTCCCCAACTTGGGACAACTGGAAAGGGCCTCCCAGCTCCAGAGCTCCCCATGGGATCAGTTGAGGCCACTGGTATGAATGTCCTGCAGCTCAACTTCTCCTTCTGCCTTGATCCCTGATGCCGTGATTCCAAGGGACTCTTCCCTAAGCCTCTGCATACAAAACTCCATCTCAGAATCCCGATCTCATGAAACTGGCATTCTAGTGAGAACTTTAATTCAGAATGAATACTAATAAACAAAATGAATATGGTAAAACAAATTGTAATTTCACAGGAGGCTTAGGAATGATGAGGAACTGATCATTTTTTACAACTTAAATTGTAGGTTTCCTTGCAGATTGAAGTAAAATAAGCCTGTAATAATCATCATAATTCAAAAATCCAGAAGCAATAGGGGAAGAAATCAATATATTTGATTAGACAATCAAATTCTACATGGAAAAAAAGTACCCCAAGGAAAGGACAAATATAAATGACTAACTGGGAAAAAAATATTTGCAACATTTGACACTGACAAAAAGTTAATATCCTAAATACATAAAGAGATTCACAAAATAGAGAAAAAAGTCCAACAAATCCATTGAAAAATGGGCTAGATATGAAAACCAGTTCACACGCCAAGAAAAGTAAATGGCTCCAACCATAGGAAGATGCTTAACCCTATTCATAGTAGAGAAATGCAAATTAAAACTACACTGAGATGCAGTTTCTCACTTATCAGATTGGCAAAAATCCAAACATCTGACAACACAGTCTACTGATGAAGCTATGGAGAAACAAGAACACTTATACATCACTGGCAAGAATGCAAAATGGCACAAGCCCTGTGGAGGGGAATTTGAGGAATTGTCATAAGAAACATCTCTAAAGTTTCTCAGTGTTTAATAAAGTCACTCAGATGCCTGATTCCATCCAACACTTCTTCCCATGAGAAGGGTGATTCACATCAGTGGTATATAAAACCATACTTAAGTTGCATTTGACTTTTCAAGTCAGGCAGGTAATTTCTGAGCACACTCCCAGGTGGTCTGAATGAATACGTGTGATACCCACCCCCTGCCTCTCACACCCCATCCCTGAAGGTGAGAACCAGTGATCCATCCCAAGCCCCCACTTTACTGAAGGCAAGAGAGAGGTCCTACAGCTAAACCAGAGTTGACCTGGGACGAGTTCTTGACAGAGCTCTTGATCTAGTTCCAAAGACCTGGAAAGAGAAAATGTGCCTTCTCTGACAAGAGCCAGAGTGGAGCCAGCACTGTGATTCTCAACCTGGTGCACATCAGAGTTACCTGGGGGAACTTAGGGGGGAAAAAAAGATGCCCAAGGTCCAACCCCAGCGATTCTCATGTAATTGGTCTGGTAGGTCCCAGGGATCAGTATTTTTAAGTACCTTCCCAGGTGTTCTATTGTGAAACTAAGGTTGGAGCCACAGAGCCAGGGAGATGAACTCCAGAAAGGCTGGTAACAATATCTTGAAAGACCAATCCAATCCTAAAGAGACCTTTTGAGATGCAAATGAGGCAGGAAGGCAGAAGCTGATATTTCAAACGCTGGATGCCAAGAGCAGGGAGCCAGAATTTGAGAAGGGCTGACTGGGGATCTTTTAAAAACAATAAGGAAAGTGCAGGGAAGAGGGGTGAGGACCACAGAACAAGTCCTTCCACAAAAAGCCCCTCCCACAAATGGGGCCTGCGAAGGGGATGCTCAGGGGGAGACCCCCTCCTGGAGAGATAAGGAGGGGTGTCTGGAGTCAGGAGGTCAGGTTTACAGATCTGGGCATGCCTATCACAAGTTGAGTGGAAGGGGCTGCGACTTCAGCTGGGACCCCCACAATACTGAGTTTGTGATCCTGGGTGAACCCTTTCCTCTTCCTGAAACTCCATTTCATCATCTACAAAACTGAGCCATGGATTAGGTGACCACAGCCTCTTCAAGCACCACAGACTTCCTGGAGAAGAGAACTGGGGTGACAGGAAGGGGTCTCCAAAGGCACTGAGAGGTCCCAACCATCACACATAAAGCAGTAAGATAATATAAAGCCTAAAGCCATTCAAAAGGACAGAGGGAGAGTGAGATTCACTGACATGGTAAAGTCTCTGAGACATCTCTGTAAGGGAAAGAAGGAAACTGCGGAACACAACCTACAGCCCAAATGTCCACCAACTGATGAATGAATAAATAAAATGCAGCATATCTACACAAGGGAATATTATTCAGCCACAGAAAGGAATTCGGTCTTGATAGATGCTACAACACCCTTGAACCCATCAGGCTGAGTGAAAGAAGCCAGCCAGAAAAGGCCACATAGCACCTGATCCCATTTACATGATATGTCCAGAATAGGCAAATTCCCAAAGGCAGAAAGTAGATGAGCGGTTGCCAGGGAGGAAGAGGGAATGGGGAGTAACTGTTGTTGGGCTCTGGGTTTCTTCCTGGGGTGATGAAAATGTTCTGAAATTAGAGAGTCGTGAAGGCTGTACAACGCTATATATCCTAAAAACCACTGAACTGTATCATTTAAAAAGACAAATTTTATGTATGTGAATTATATCTCAATAAAGCTGTTATTAAACCAAAAAAAAACAGGCTGGAGGGTAGTGTATATTTCAGTGGTAGAGCTCAGGATTAGCATGCACAAGGTCATGGGTTCAATCCCCAGTACCTCCATTAAAAAACAAACAAATAAATAAATAAATAAACCCGATTCCCCTGCCCTCCCCCAAAATACAAAAAATTTATAGTAACCTATAATGAAAAATATGAAAAGGAATATATGTGTGACTGAAACATTATGTTGTGCATCAGAAATTGACCCACTGTAAACTGACCATACTTCAATTTTTAAAAAAGTTTAAAAAAAAGAACATGTTACCATTTTTATAAAAATAAGACTCACATGCACGAGTGTGTGTGTGTGTGTGTGCGCGCGTGTGCACCCATGCATATGGGACGGGGGGAATGGTCTGAAGAATACACACCAGGCTGTTAATAGTAACAGTTCAGGGAACTTGCACTTTGCACTTTCCTTCTCTCACATTTTTTGGGTGGAGGGAGGATACAGTCTTCCAGCATTTTCTCTTAACTTTTAAAAAAATTATACAACATTAAAAAAATTAAATATAAAAATACATTCTCACTGTAAATCCATGCTGTGCTGACAAAGCAGAAGTCCCTATGTTTACACCCCCACCCATTTTCCTCTTGAAGGTGACCACAGCTGAAGGTCAGCTGGAGCTCCTTCCAAACCTTCAGCTATACTTAAAATACTGAAATAGATGGTGTTCTTTTGGACTTTCTTTCTTTCCTATGTTTACTTGGCTCTGTGATCTTTGATTTTTATAATAAGTACCTTGGGTAGAAGAAAACCCCCAAACATCCAGCATTTAAAAAGACAGTCTGTGTTCATGCTACATTATTATGTACGTTACATAAAACATAATCCCATCTTTATTAAAAAAAAAGAGAGAGAGAGAGAAATATACATTTAGGCACAGAGAAAGGCCTAAAAAGAAACAAACCAAACCAAATCATGGGTTAGGCTGAATCAGATGTAGGATTGAGGGAGATGGTTAGGGGAAGCTTTCTTCTTTTATGTATGGTTATTATTATTTCTATTACATTTTGGATAATGCACTCACATAGTTTCAAACTTCAAAAAATTCTAAAAGGAATTCAATGAACCCAGTCACCAGTTCTCTCGCCCGAGGCAATCAATGCAACCAGAATCTGATGTATCCAACCTTTGAGGTATGCTAGGCATGCATTTATGTGCTTTTGTAACGAAATTTTTGCTTCATTGAGCTTACATTACTTTTTCAGCAAAAAAAAAAAAGCATACACACATTTCAATATGTGTGTGCACATAAATAGAAAAAAGTATTAGAGGTACAACATACTGGGAAGTACTCCCACCCCAAACAGTAACTTGGTTATCACTTAGAGGAATTCCCTCTGAATACTGGATTACAGGTGAAAACTTTTCTCCTTATGGCTTACTTGGATTTCCTAGTCTTTCCCTATTACGCATATATTATTACGTGTAGGATGGAAGGGGAAAGTTACAGCATAACGTTTTAAAAATGTACCCTCCCCCAAGAAAAGTCATAAACGCCTTTCCAACAGGTAGAGGGTGAGCTCTGAGTGCCCACCAGAAAGGGAGGGCAGCGGGCAGAGAAGAGGGGCTGAAGTAGCAAAGCTTTTCAGCACTACGGTGGTTCCAGCCTTTTCTGGATGGAACTGACCCTGCCCCCACTTCATCTAAGCTATTTGGGCTCCCACACTGCTCTGCGGCTCTGGAGGGAAAACAAGGCAGGCTCACAGAGCACAAAGACCTTCCTCCCCTCCGCAGGGCAGCAGCTGGCCAGGCGGCCTGGGGGGCTGTGGTGCCCCTCCAGGGAGCCAGGGCCAGTCAGAGCCTCTTTGTGGAGCCCCCAGGGGCAGATGTTCTGGCCCTGGGCCTTGGGAGGGCAGGATAGGGCAGGGCGGGACAGCACCCGGGCACCAACAGGAATGCCAGTCACAAGCATTGGACCCCGAGGGCACTCTCTTTGGCCTGGCATGCAGCAGGGGCTTCCCCACCCACCAGCAACTCACAAGGCCGCCTTTGAGCAGCCACGGTGGCGCCTTTGAGCATCTCTGGTCTAACGGCTCCTCCTGGAGCTATGTCCTCCCTTGCCCTTCTCCCGGAGACTAGTAGATGGTGTCCCTGCCCCTCCAGCCTGCACAGAGAGGCTGCGTGAGCAGAGCTGGGGAGAGGCCCCCTGCCGCCTAACACCTTCCATGCTTCTAGGAAACAAAGACCAACCTTCAAGGAATAAAATGAACCTTCTGCCAAAACAGCTGGACAGATTTTCACCCAGTTTGGAGGGGATGTTTGGAAAGATCTCCCTGAAAACACAGACTGCTGTGTGTGTACAAAATTTACTCTACGGGGGACCTGGGGTCAAAGACTGAGGCCTTCTTCCCGCAGAGCGGCTGAGGCAGCCACACAGAGAGGTGGTGTGGCTCGGGGCTAGGGGAGACCTTTTGGAGGGAGGAAACAAACAGTGGTTTGACACGAGCCCCAAATCAAGTCCCTGGACAGACGCTGCCAACCACAGGCATAGATTTGCAACGTCTAACTGCTCCTTCCGTGGGCAACCTGCGCCGCGATATGGAGAGCTCCTGGCTAGGAGCAGCAGAAATGTCAATTTAACTAACTGCTTCTCCAGACCCACAGGTATTGTAGAGATTGTGAGAGTGATAACACTGATAATCATTTACCAAGCCCTTACTCTCCACTAATCATTTTACCTGCTTGTCTTGATTAATTCTCACAAACACCTATGAGAAAGGATTAATATTCCCATTTTATAAATGAACAAACTAAGCACTGGAGCTCATGTTTGGGATATGATTGGCCCAACGCTAAAGTTATCTGCAAATAAGTGGCAAAGCCAGGAGTCAAACTCAGGCTAGTGTGACTCCAAGTTCGTGTTTGCCCTGCAGCACACAGACCACGGCTAGGCTGCATCAGATGATGACACCAGCAGAACCAAGATCAGACCCCAGGTGAACTGATGCTGTGGTCAGTGCCCTTCCTACCCCATGAGAGTGGGAATCAGGCCAAGAAGCCTGGGCCAGAGGAGGTTCTTACTAGAGTGAGTGGCCTCTTTGGAGGTTCTGAAACACAGTGGGGCCCCAGGAACGCCCCTGAATGGGGCAAGGAGGGCAGGGGCACCACCCTAACCATCAATGTGGCTTTGGGAGTTGGAGAGTCTGGGTCAGAATCCCATCTTTGTCTTTCCCCCAACCCATCTATATGCAGCAAGTCCACTCCTAAAAATACACCCAAGAGAACTGAAAACATGCTCACACAAAAACCTGTACAATAATGTTTATAGCAGCATTATTCATAATAGCCAAAAAGTGGAACAACCCAAAAGACCACCAACTGATGAACAGACAATGTGTGGTAAATCCATACAATGGATTATTATTTGGCCATAAAAAGGAGTGAAGTACTGATTAACTGTTTCAACATAGAGAAACCTTGAAAACATGATGCTAAGTGAAAGAAGCCAGTCACAAAAGATCACATATTGCATGATTCATCCACAATAGGCAAATCCTAGGGCGGGAGGGTATAGCTCAGTGGTAGAGCCCATGCTTAGCATGCACGAGGTCCTGGGTTCAATCCCTAGTACCTCCTCCAAATAGAAATAAATAAATAAACCTAATTACCTCCCCCTCATAAAACAAACAAAAAAACCACAATAGGCAAATCCATAGAGGCAGAAAGTAGATCAGGGGTTGCCAGGGGCTGGAAGGAAAAGGGAACGGGGAGTGACTGCTAAGAGGTACAGGGTTTCTTTTAGGGGCAATGGAAGTGTTCTGGAATTAGATAACGGTGATGTTTGTGTTTTCTTTGTTTTTTTAACATTCCAAGTTCTCCCTTCCATCTTTATTGATTTTAAGATCTTGCACAGAAGACTCTTTGGGGACTAGAACAACAGCAATAATGGTGATGTATGTACATTATTATGAATATATTAAAAACCAGTGAATTGTACACTTCAAAATGGTGAATTCTAGGGGTGGGGGGTATAGCTCAGTAGTAGAATGCATGCATGAGGTCCTGGATTCAATCCCCAGTACCTCCATAGAAATAAAAACAAACAAAAATGTTAAATTTTATGGTATGTGGACTACATCACAATTAAACAATTGCCAAGAAGAGCCACCTATAAAATGGGGACAAAAATCACTGTACCTCGGGAGGCTGCTGGTTACACAACGTGAAGACATAAAACACCTGGTACAGAGCAAGCACTCAGACACAGCCACTATGGTATAATAAATCCCATCAACACTGATACTGGCTTTCTGCCTAAAATATAAAGAGGGGGAATAATATTAGATTGGGGGAAGGCTGATATTATGATTTTTGAGCTGCAGTCCAGCTGGCAACAGTGCCACTGCAGCGCATGGCTGGGGCTGGCCACCCTCCCTTTCCTCTAGCAAAGAGCCATCTCCATGGCAACCACATCAGCTCAGACCAGGGGCTCCTATTCCCAGCCGGGTGACAGCATCGCCACAGCAACCTGTCAGGATGGCAAAGGCAGATCTCACTGATGGGACTGGAGCAGCTCTGGCAGAAGAATTGCTAAGGGACCCTCGTCTCCATAGAAACCACATCAGGAAGGAGAGGGAGGAGGGAGAGGGCAATCAGCAAATAAACACAGGGCCACACCTCCTTGCCCAGATCCTAAGACACCAAGGGGCACATCAGGGAAGGCTAGACCAGCCTCGCCGACATCACCTTCAAAGGGGAAGTGAACCAGTGTTTCATGAGCACCTACTGTGTGCCACGCACCACGAAGGGCTCTTTACATGCTTGACTACATTTAAAATGTCACTAATAATAACCAACCCCTCCCTCTCAAAAAACTTAACCACAGCAATCATAGACTAAAAAGCAGAAGTCATTTCCTACCCTATTCCCACCGTTTCTAACGCCTCAGTTTGGCAAGTTTTCCCCTAGACTTTCCTCCAGGCTACACATCTGCACATAAACACACATGCTTCAAAACCAGTTTGTTCTCTATGGCTTTCTAAAATAATTACAATAATTACTGGGATTGCACAACATATATGCTTCTATAACTTTCTTTTCCTGCTTAACAATATACCTCAGAGATCCTTCCATGTCAATGCATATGTAGCTACCCTGTTTTTTAAAATCATGGGAAAGTCTACCTAATATAAAATTTACCATTTTAACCATTTTTCTTTTTTGCTGCAGTAAAATATACATAACACAAAATTTCCCATTTTTAGGCATTTTCAAGAGTACAATTCAGTGGCATCATTACCATTCATCTCCAGAACTTTTTCATCATCCCAAACTGAAATGCTGCACCTATTAAACAGCGTCTCCTCGTGCCCTCCTCCCTCCAGTCCCTGGTAGCCTCTAATCTACCTTCTGGGTCTATGAACTTGACTAAGTATCTCACCTAAGTGGAATCACATAATACTCTCTTGTTGCGTTTGGCTTATTTCACTGAGCATAATCTTGTCAAGGCTCACCCACATGTGTGTCGTGTGTCAGAATTTTAATCTTTCTTAAAGTTATACATACGTTGTAAGTAGATACTACATTTTTATTTGTTTATTGATGGACATTTGGGTTGCTTATGCCTTTTGACTATTGGGAATAATGCTGCTATGGATATGAGGTTACAAATACCTGTTCACATCCCTGCTTTCAATTCCTTTGGACATCTACCCAGGAGTGGAATTGGCTTGTTTGGTGATCCTATGTTTAATCTATTTCAGGAACTGCCATACTACCTTACTCTTTTTAACTTCTTCATGGAGTTCTGTGGTTACCCAATCCTAGTAATGATCATAAACAACCTCGTAAGCTGGTTGTAGTAACATATCAGGGTGTTATTACCCTGATGTCACAGATGAAGAAAGTGAGACTTAGAAAGGGGAGGTGGCTTTAGGGTCTCAGCCTCATCTCTGCCAAGCAAAGGCTGGGTGAACTCAGGCGAGCTCTCCCTCTCTGCCTCCGTTGCCTCTCTTACGATGGGAGCAGGCTGACCTCCAAGGCATTTTCTGAAATAGTCTCACCTTTTCACTATCAAGGGTGGCAGCAATGAGATGTATGAAGGTGCTGTCCTGTGCTGTGGGCCAGGCCATGGAGGGCAGGAGGGGCCTCCCCCTAACCCTGAAGCAGCCCTTGGTAGCAAACACCTCCGATCTCCACACTGAGAAGCCTTTTTTTGGCACATCACACCAACACACCCAGCGGGGACGGCAGGTGAAGGACTGTTCCGGCCTCAGGGCTGTGGTGTATGGCCTCAGGAAGGTGAGGATTGTGTCCCAGAACAATGTCCGATTATAAAATACTTTGTGAGCAGCCTGACTGCCCAGAGGGTTTGGACACACTGGCTGGGTGGGGCTGGCACATGCCCACCGGACCCAGACTTGGCCCTGCCCGGGGCAGATGGGGCCCTCACCTCTCTCGGCCGCTCCAGCTCCGTCTGCAGCACCTGCTTGGCCAGCTCGGTCTCGATGAGCCGCTGCCGAAGCTCTTCATTCTCCTCCTCCAGCCGAGCCCGTTTCTTCTCCACCACCTCAAGCTCCTTATGCAGCCGCACCGAGATGTCCTTGGAGACCTAAAGGTAGGTGATAAGCAGAGCATGAGTGAGCCGAGGGGCCATCCCACCTCGGCCGCAGAGCAACCCCAGGGCAGGCAGGTACTCTCTTCACTCTCACTTAGCAGATAAGGAAACTGAGGCACAGAGAGGTCAAGTAACTTACCAAGGGTCACACAGCCAGGAAGTGGTAGAACTAAAACCCAAACCCAGGCACCCCATGCTCCCGATGGCCACATCATAGTTCAGCCCCCTGGAAGCTACAAAGGCCCTGCCTGTTCTGAGCAATGCCTTTTCATTTATCTGGGGCTTTTAATGCTTCCAAAAGCCTCTCCCAGCCACCCTCTTGCCCAGTTCTCATAAGAGCCTAGGGCAAGACCAGAACTCATTTTAAAGAGAGGGTAAACCCAGAGCAAGATGGGCAGTCCCAGAACCACCTGAACCCCATCTCTGCCAGTGACCAGCATATGATCCTGGGCCAATCATTCCCTTATTCTGGACCTCAGTCTCCTTAACCACAAAATGGGTATAATAATAATAGCACCAACTTCACAGGCCAACAGGAGGACCGAATCAGCTACTGCACAAAAGCCTTGGCCCAGTGCCGACACAGTGAGCGCTGGGTGAGTGGTGGCTGCTGCTGGGAGAAGCTGAGCCCAGTGGGGGCATGACTTGTCAGGGGTCACAATGTGACACAAACCCTGAGGCCTGTTTCCAATTGTCTGGGATAGAGAACATGCCCTGAATGACAAAGGCTGGGCAGAAGTCCAAGTCATCCCTACAAAGAGAAGCTAACAGAGCTGCAAACTCCAATCCCGGTTCCAGGATTCTGCTGCAACAGCACCCCGTTTCCTCGAGGACCCCTCTGTCCTGTCCCCGGCTGGCTGGGATGACAGGCCAAGAAAGGAGGTCTTTTCTCTGGGGATGAGGAAGGCCCTTCTGAGCTGGTAAATCATAACAAGACTCCATCCCTGAGTAAATTAAGCACTACCATTTGTTGAATACCTACTATGTGCCAGATTCACTCATCTTCACCCCATTTCTGCTTCCATTTTACTGGCATGCAAGTGACTTGCTCAAGGTCACACAGAGCTAGTGAGGGGCAAGTTAGGGGCAGCTCAGAGGCTCTGGATAAGAGGACAGCATAGCCAGGGCTGCAAAGGGGGTATGAGGGCTTTGCCAGCAAGAGGTTTGCGTAGGGCAGACAGCCCTGCGCCTCGTGCCTGCCAGTCTCGGAAATGACCCTGGCACCTCCTCCCTGCCGGAAGGGAAGCGGGCCCTCCCTGGCTCAGCCTTCTGCCTGGGCCCAGGCCCAGCTCGGCACAGACCTCTTGGCAGTGTGTGAGGCAAGCCAGGAAAAACAACGGCCAGAAAGGAAATTCAGCACTGCTTTCCCCTCCTCTCTCTGTTGCCCACCACCTCTCTCTGCCCCTGAAGATCTCCAAGGACAGCCAGAAGCTGGCCCAGGAGGCTCCTCCCACAGTCTCTCTAAGCCACCAAATCTTTCCTGTCCACATAGTGGGGTAGCAATCCCTCACTACCAGAATGAGGACTCTGCTTGGGCTGGCTGAAACACAACAGGTGCTCAAAAATATAATGATTTTTAATGCATTGTCCAGATTACTGCTTCACCTCTGTGCACTGATTTTATCTGACTTGGTCAACACCCCACCTCACTCTGGAGTTTAGTATCAGGGTTTTGCTGGAGGTGTTCAGCCCTCAGGCTTCTGGCTGTGGTCCCAAGCTTCAGGCTGTTAGGTCACTCAGTGAGGCCCTGTCCTGATCAGTGTCCATCCATTCATTCATCCGCTTAGCCCCTGGAGGCAGGAGTGGTGAGGCACAGAGGTCAAGGCCCCAAGCCAGGCTCCTAACACCTCTGTGTCCCAGTAGCAGCCAGGGTCTGGCACATACTAAGTGCGCAATAAATGCTTATTGGATGATCAAACAAATCCAAGATTTCAACAAGCAAAAAGGAAGGGAAATGGAAGAGCAAATGACTGAAATATGGGAGATGAACCTGCCCTAGTTTGGCTGGGGATGCTCCTCCTAACTGCCCACACCCTGCATTGTCTATAGAGGGCTGTGTGCCTGACTGGGATGAGGGATCAGCTGCTGGGGCCCAGGGCTCCTCTTCATCTGGGGGGTCACACCATCCCCACCACGGCCTCAACCTGGACAGGTGAGCCCTCCTTACCAAGAAGGCATGACCCATGTGGACTCCTGGATCATCCTGGGTTCATGTGACTGGATTTTATCCCTTCCATAAGTCCCCAGTTGCCTCTGTCCCACTCTCCATGGGACCCCCTTCCCCATCTGCTCTCCACCCCTACATGATGCTTTATGAAGAAGACCTAGTCCCAGGCAGATCACAGAATTCCACTGTTGACAAAAGAGCCCTTTATCTCAGATCCCCACAGAGCCCTGCGCGCCTGACGGAGGCCCACAGGAGCAAAAAGCACGCCTCCTGGAGAGCAGAAGCCTTGTTGCCTAGGCCTGTCCCTTCCCCTCTCTGGGCCCCTTGGCTCTACAGATGATCATAGAATCAGCTGTCACTTCCCAAGCACCCACCACGCGCCTTTCATCCCTTCGGCAAGTGCTGTGATGATTATCTTCAGAAAGAAAAGGTCACTTGCCCAAGGTCATGCAGCTAGGAAGCTACAGAACCAAGATTTGAAATCAGGGGGTCAGCTCTGTAGTCTCGCTCTCAATCTGACCCTGCTGTTGACTTGAAGACACATTATATTAATATCAATAGTAAAAGTATTAATCATAAGTGCAACAGTGGGCTCACTGTGTTGGGGACTCACAGGGCCCCACTTACCTGTCTCATTTGATCCTCTCATGATCCTCTCAACTACCCCCAAGGTAGGGGGGCTGAGATACTGCAGAAGGTGAAGCAGCTGCAGCTTCCGGAAACCAGGGCAAATCCCCAAATCACAAACAAATGCTCTCAGCCATGAGGTCACTGTTTACAGCACTGGGGCCTGGCTCCTGCCAAATGCAACCAGCAGCCTCCAAGCCACAGCCACCTCCCTCACTGGGCCCCTCTGCTCCTGGACCTAAGGCTTTCAGGTGTCCCTGTCACTGTGACTTCTCAGGGAGGGGGATGGGAACTCTCACTAAGAAGCACTCCCTGTCCAGGCAGCATCTGGGCTCTGTGTAGCTAAATCTTCCCTGGAAGCCCAGGAGGGCAGAAATGTCACCCCCACTGTGTGGAGGAGGAAACTGAGGCTCAAAGAGGGGAAATAACCTGCTCAGGTTAAGCAGGAATTAAATCCAAAGCCAGAACTTTTTCTCCAGCAATATCTGCTTCTAAGAAATGTTTTACTGGTGTGTCCTTGACAAGAGTCCATTCAGGTGGTAATTTTCATCCCAGTTCCCTAAGACCTGACACCCTCCCACAGGATCCCAGGCCCTGAGAGGAGGGCCTGGGAATCTGCACTGTGATAGACCTTCCAGGTGATACTTATCCACTCAGGGAGGTGGAGATTCTGGTCCCTCTTCCTTGCACCGGCCCCAGACACCTGTCCCACTAGTGCCCTTTAAGTTCTTCTTCTGAACAAGAACAGTAACACCCCAATCAACATTTGCTCTTTTGCTGGGGGAGCGTCCCGTGGCAGACTTTGTTCAGCATGCTTTTTGCTTGAGCTGTTTCATTTTATCCTCACAAAAATTTCTACCCCTTCCCCACCTCCAGCTCCATAAAACCACTGGAGCAGCAACAGCCCTGAAGATTCAGCTGCTCTAAGCCTCACATTTAACAGGATGGGAAACTGAGGCCCCAAGGCATGGGGGTGGCCTCTGGCAGCCGGGGGATGGGCCAAGGAGCTGGCAGAGCAAGTCAGAGGATCCCCAGGGACACCCTCCCAGGCTGCAACTGGTCCCCTTCCACACCTGGATCCATCAAGCCCTCCCAGGCGATGCCAGGGAAGTCAGTATTCTGAGAACCTCCAAAAAAATTCCCCAGAACATCCCCAGCACATGGGACAGAGTGAGGTGACCAAAGCTGTCCAGCCCAGGCCAGCGTGGATGAGCTCAGCACTCCAGCTGCAGGCGCAGAGAGAGGAGGGAGGGAAGGGGGCAAGCCAGTTGCTGATTGGCTAGTTCAAATCCCAACAGAAGGGGCCCCTCCTCTCCACCCAGACTCCAGAGAGCCTCTCCCCTAGACATACACACACACACACACACACACACACAGCACCAGCTGCTCTCAGCTCCTCCCATGGAGGCTCCAGCAATCCAGCCAGCCTGCTCCCAGCCCCAGCCTTTTTCCACCCTTTCCTCATCTAAGGCTGACTTTTCTGTGTCCCTGCCCAAAAGCTGGATCAAAACTCACATTTGTTCAAGCTCCTGGAGCTCCCCGTCACCCCACATCTCCCAATCCAGTGCCTGGAATTTGAATAATTGTGTAACGATTTAACCCAGGAGCTGCCTTCTCAGGTAGAGGTATACTTTGAACCTGGAGATATAATCTTTCCAACCTCAGTTTCCTCATCTGTACAATGGATCTATAATTCCACTGTGTGCAGGGCATGTGCAGGACAATGGGAGATGCAAGAGCTGCATGGGGCTGTGCTCACTGTTTACCTCCCCTAACAGGGGCCCTCTTCCTCCAATATTCCTCTAACTTCTGCCTCAGGCCTCAGCTCAGAGGTCATCACTGCAGGAAGGCTCCATGGGCCCCCCAAGTCTACACCAGATGCCCCATCCCCAGCTCCTACATTCCCGATGACACTGGGCTGAGTTCTGAGACGTGGGGGGCCAGGAAACTCGGAGTTCTCAGCCCCCAGACCAGAGCTCACACATAGGTAGGGCAGACTTTTCTTCTAGAGGCCCCATCTGCCAGCCGCCAACCCATCCCTTTCCTGCTCTCTAAGGCCAAGAGCAGCGAGAGGAAGCAGCAAGGCCTGGAAGGCTGATGCATCTGTCCTCTGCAGGCGACCCAAAGGGTCACGTGACCTTGGACAGGTACTTCCTTTCTCTGAGCCTCACTTTCCTTATTCAGAAAATGAGAATAATAATAACAGCTAACATTTTTGAGTGCTTACAGTGACCTCTTACCTACCTTATCTCATTTGATCCTCGAACCCTGAGAGGCAAGGGCTGCTGTCACAACCATTTTACAGGTTGAGGAAATTGAAATTTAGGTGACTTGCTCAAAATGATAAAATTAGAGCATATTAAAGCCAAAATTTAAACCAGCCTCATTCAACTCCAGGCCTTCACTACACTCCATCAACATGATAAAGAAACCTCCATGGAACTATGCAGGGACAGCCTGGAGTCCAGCACCAGGTGTGTGGTTGAAACTCAAACAGCAGCTGCTGCAAGTAGGATTCATATTATGAGGCCACTTTGGAACATCCCTGGTAGATGGCCCATCAGTTCACTCGGGATGCCCATTTTACAGATGAGGAAGCTGAGGCCCAAAGAGAGATTAGAAATTGCCCAAGGACACACAAGGAGTGAGCTGACCTGGACCCACTCAGGCTCGTGATCCTATCCCCCAACAAGGGCACTTGTGAGTGTTGTTGGGGGGTGGTGCCCAGGCTTACCTTTACGTCTTGCTCCAAGCCGCGGATGAGCTCACCGTCCACCTGGCCAGTCTGGGCAGCACGGAGGCTGCGGCGCTCCGCCTTTCGCAGTCGGTACTGCAGAATGCGACAGGTCTTGCTGGCCTGGTCCAGCTGCTGCCGCAGCTCCTGCAGCTGATACACATCCTCCTCCATATAGACATCCCGCATCTCCAGCATCTCTGCCCGAAGCTCCTCAATCTCATCCTGCAGAGGGAAGGAAAGGCCAGGTCGCTGGGCCCTGTGGCAGTGGCCAGGGTGCTTGAGTGCAGGCCACACCCAACACTGTCCTAGACGCCTCAGGGGTCTGGGTGTGGTAGTCTGAATAATGGCCCTCTGAAGATGCCCATGTCCTAATTCCCAGAATCTGTGAATATTACCTTTTATGGCAAAGGGACTTTGCAAATGTGATTAAGGATCTTCAGACTGGGAGATCCTCCTGGATTACCTGCGTGAGCCCAGTGTAATCACAAGCATCTGTATAAGAGGGAAGCAAGGGAATCAGAGTCGGCGAAGGTGACGTGGCAGACACCAGGGTGATAATACACTAAAGATGAAGAAAGGGCCACGAACCAGGGGGTGCAGGCAGCCTTTAGACGTGGGAAAGGGGAATGCAAGGGCTGGAGCCCTGCCAACACCTTGGTTTTTAGACTTCTGACCTCCAGAATTCTAAGATAATCTGGGATTGTTTTAAGCCACTAAATTTGTGGTGATTTATTATAGCAGAAATAGGAAACTGGGGAAGCAGGAAAGGCTCATTCAACAAGCATTTATGAGCACCAACTGTGTACCAGGCTCTGTACAAGCACATGGGGGAGGGGGAAGGAGAGTGGTGACCAAGACTAATGTGGCCCTTTCTGTATCATCTGTGTGGAGCCCCAAGTCTCACTGGCGAGACACACAGTAAACCGGCAAATTAAAAAAAAAAAACCTCAGATATGCTTAAGAGCTATGAAGACAAAAAACCAAAAAAACCAAAACAAAACACCTGGGTAATATGTTAGAGTAATGGGGGAAGGTGCTATGTTAGAGGACACGGTCAGGGAGGCCATCTCTAAAAGAAGGGACATTTGAGCTGAGGCAAGAACAGGTATGCAGAGAAAGAGGCAGGAAGTGGTTATTCCAGGCAGAAGGAATAGTGTGTGCAAAGGCCCAGAGGCAGGAAAGAGCTCAGTGTGTCAAGATACAGCAAGGTGGCCAGGGTAGCTACAGGGGTAAGTTGAGGCTGGGGAAATTGAAAAGGGCCAACCACCCAGGGCCATGAAGGGCTGAGTAAAGAATCTGAGTTTGGGTTTTAAGTGGAGGGAGTTGGGGGGGGTGACCTCACTCCTGACCACCTCCGTCACCAGCTCCCAGATGTCCTTCACTTCCCCTTTGTCATCATGAGCATGTCTGCAATTCTTTATTTACTAGTTTGTCTCTCAGAGAGACTGTGAGTGCCTGGGGGCTGCCCCATGTCTATTCCCAGCTGTATCCCCCACACCCAGCACAGGGCCTAGCATTCTGTAGGCTCCCAACAATATTCACGACATGAATGAAGGCATGTCTGGCTAGTTAGACAGTCACAAAAAGACACACCAATGTGAAACAATCATTAGACACAAAGTGTTAGGGGATGAGTTGGGGAGACCCAGCAGAAGAAATGGGTGATTATTATGTCCAAATGCAGATGTGAAAGCTGAGTCACAAATGGAAATACTACTATCTACTGTTAGTGTGACTGAATGGATTAAACAAGATTGTACACTAAAAAGAGAAACTGAGTCAAAGAGAAATGAATGACTTGCCAAAAAACATCCCTGAGGAGCCAGAGAAAGCACCCAAGGACAGTGCTGGTGGGACGTGGGGTGGGTCCAAGAAGAAAAAACCCACACTCTGCAGGCCCTGGAGAGGGACCACAATCTGGAGAGCTGTGTTTACCAGCTTCTGAGCCCCTTCTTTTCCCAAAGAAAATGGGTGACTCCCTACAGGGGAATGGCCTGGGGTTGTCCAGCACCCTCTGAGACTGGGTGGGTCCAGGGTTAGGGTTAGGAAGCAGTACCTTCAGGCTGGTTCTTAGTATGAAAGCTCACTGAGGTTTTTACATCCGTTTGTACCCAGTTACTCCTGGGACCACTTCTCAAATAGTTCTGAACTCAGGAGAGGAAGACAGGGGGGACAGGTATCTGCTTCTCCCAACTCCCAACAGATACTGTCCCATTCCCATCATCAGCTAAAGGGTACTGGACACCAGAGCCTCGCCCCTAGGGGTGAGTTCAGCAGCACCTCCCAAAGTGAATGATTCCGCCTGCACCAGCTGCAGAGGAATCTTACCAGGACCCCTCACCACCTCTACCGCGTTATACACACAGATGCACCACCCCACCACCATGCCCAGTGGACAGAACTAAAAGTGGAGAAGGAGGAAGTGGGACAGTCAATGATCACACCAGTTACAGAAATGAGGAAGTGAGGGGTCCACATGCCATTTCAGCTGGCAGATTAAGGAAGCGTAAAGGAAACAGCATTCAGGAAGTACAGGCCAGTTGGCTGAATCCAAGCTAAACTAGCCTCCAAATGGGCCTGTGTTCAAATCCTCACCATACTATTTACAGAACCTGGTGATCGGGAGGATGTGAGGGTCTGAATGGATCCAAAGCTCAGGATGAGCAAAGGGGAAATGCAGGAGATACACAAGCTAATGATGCTGGGCTACATTAAAAGATGTATGGCATTTAGATCATGGGAGGTGACATCCCCCAACATAGGACCACATCCAGGGCACTGGAGTCATTTGGGGGCACCACTTATTTTTTTTTAACATTTAAATAACTGATTTTCCTATATATAGAAGTAAACAATGATCATAGAGACAGTTTTGAAAATACAGAAAACATAGAGCACTCAATTCCTCCACCTGGTCCTGAATTGCAGTGGTTCTTAAAAAGTGTGGTCCCAGGACCAGCAGCATTAGCAACACTGGGGAAATTGTCAGAAATCTTCATGTCCCAACCGAGACCCAATGAATTAGAAATCTTGGAAATGGGGCCCCCCGACTGCCTCTAATGCAGGGTGTTTCCTTCCAGTTTTTTCCCTACATGGGCAAGAGTCATGTTTCTCAGCACACAAGTCCCAGCCCAGAGCCTGACACAGAGCAGGGTCTCAGTAAGCATCTAGTGAATAGGTGAATGAATGAATGATCTTTCTCACATAAGCAGCTGTCTCTTCCTTCACCACAGTCAGTTTTTGAAAATGCAGGATGTTGCTTTCACGCCAGCTCCAGCTCTCTGCGGTGGCCAACAGGGGCCCGGGCAGGCCCCTTGGGGGCTTGTCCCAGCTGCAGGCAGAATGCGGTCAGCCCCTCCTGGCACGGTCCATGTGAGAGGGCGCGTCCACAAAGGCCAGCTTGTGGCCTGTATGGGTCTGCTGGGACGTGGGCAGCATTTGCTGGTGAAGGCAGGACTTAGGCAGAGGCTGAGCTTTCAGGGTCTGAGGCAGAGGCTGGGAAAGGGGCTGCTGGGACACTGGGAGGGGCCCAGGAGGGCAGGACCCTGCTTTCCACCGGAGGTTCTTAGACCTCACTGAGCCTCCCAGGCTCCCAGGACTCCTCCATCCAGGGACTGTCATGGGGAATCAGCAGGTGGTGGGGGTGGGGAGCTCAGCCTTGCCTTCAAAGGCAGCTCAGTGGCCTTGCTGAGCCTCTCACCCCAACCGGGTGGAAGTGGGGAGGGAGGGGTCAAACTCCACGGGACTCAGCCAGCCTCATGGCTACACAACAAGGTCGTCAAGGTCGTCAGAGATCCCCTCAAACCTCACCCCCCACCGCAGACAGGTACAGGCCACACTGCCCAGCAGTGCCCACCTCAGAGCCTGGGGACCCCGATTCTCAACCCCACAGTCAGAAAGTCTGGACTAAAGAAGCTGAGGAAAGATGCCCAGACTCGTCACGGCCTGCCAGGTCCTCCAAAACCATCCCCTCTGGCCACTCCTTCAAGTCAACCTCTCTTCCCCTTGAAACTTAACCTGATTATTTAATCCTGACTTGAGCACGGGGAGTGGAGGGGGGACAGATAAGGGGCATCCACACTGTTGCCAGGGTAGTCGGCCTTTCCCTTTGTAGAAATGTTTATTTTGCTCTGATTAAAGAGGTAATACCTATTTATTGGGGAAAAAAACTTGAAAAAAAAACCCAGATAGGTTTCTGTCTCCTCCACTACTTCCCAGTGGTTTCTGCCTCAGGTCCAAGTTTCTCATCCTGGTATCTGAGCCGGCCCTGGTCTCCTCCTCACTCCTGTCTTGCCTCGGCACTTGCATCTTCTGTCCCATGTCCAGATACGCCACAACCGAACAATAGCTACCCCCTATCGGGAGGCTCACTAATTACCGGCCTAAGCACAGCACATGCACAATAGTTTGATCCCTTACCAATCCTGGCAGGTAGGTAGTGAAAATGTTCCCACTTTGCAGATGAGGAGACTGAGGCTCAGAAGCCTCCCAGAGCTGCTCAAGCAAAGGAGGGGTGGAGCTGGAATCTAAACGGGCCCTGTGACCCTGGGCCAGTGCATCTGAACTGTGTGTTCTACTCCCAGGCTTGCTCAGGCTATTCCCTCTGCTAGAAAGGCCTTTGCCAGGCTAACTCCTCATTTTCTCATCCTTCCAGAGTATTCCCTACTCTCTCAGTCTAATTAAAACCTCACACTCAGAACTCCATTCTCCTCCTGTGCTGACAACTTTAGGTTGCATTTGCCTGTTTTTAGGTCTATCTTCCCCAAGAGCTGGGGGGAAGGGTAGATACTGGGTCTGACTCGTGTCTTGCCTCCAGCATCGCCGTGGACGGGACGTTGGAATGGAGCAGGCAGCCATCGCTGTCTGTGGGTAGATGAATAAATGAAAGGAGTATGACTTCTGCCCTCTCTCCACAGGCTGGAGAGAGCAAGCCCTCCTGATCCCAGCCCCACGCCAGCTGCAAAGAGTCAGGGAGAGCCTGGGATTCTCTAGGGCTGGCCTCAGACCCCCATGCCACCCGAGGAGGATAGGCAGGGTCTTTCTACCCAAGGAACCTCTGGTCACCCACTCCCTGCCCACAAAGTGCATCTCTGTCCATCCCCCCTCATACCTTCCAATGACCCATGAGGTCAGCCTGCAGCCTCTCGGGGGCAGACCCCCTCCCCAAAATGGACTGGTTCCCAGAAATTCAGGGGGAATTGGCCAGGAAGAGTCTAATGGTC